GAGAGAGAGAGAGAGAGAGAGAGAGAGAGAGAGAGAGAGAGAGAAAGAGAGAGGTCAATAAGAAATTGGATCACAAATATCGCAACATTCAGCGAAAATTTTCGTGCGAGTAAACGCGTGAACCCCGTTTTTCCTTCGATTCGACGAAGTGAATTTTGAAAAAGAGTATCGAAATTTCGCGAAAACGCGTTGAAAGCCCAATGAATTTAATGCAAATTTTCCATTGCACGATTCCATATTCATATAATATTTATAACTAATAAATTTGTTAACGGTACAAATTCGTTTAATTCCTTGCGCGGATTAAATACATTTTAATTATTCGTTTCTGGAGATTAGTTTAACTGATTCAATTTCTGAAATATTCAGTCCTCTAGGAAACTCGTTCTCGATCGATTCATTTTTTTCTTCTTTCTTTTTATCTTTAATCAAAGAAGAGAGATTGACTTCTCGACTTCTTTCTCAAGTTCAACACTCGATGCTGTATTTGATTCTATTTTTCGTTACATCGATTCGGCCATTTTGTAACGTTCCTCCATTTCCAACTTCCTCTCTTTTTCAAACTTCCATCCTTCGCCATCTTTCAAATGTTCAAATATTATGAACAGCGGTGTCTGATGCGCTACATCACAATTAGAAACGCTTTGATCGAACACTGCCAGTTATTACTGTTCACTAGGTTCATTAAAGCCCCCTCCCCTCCACCCAGTTTAATCGAGTTACGCCAAGTCAATCAGCTGGCTTTCATTACTTCCAAAAACGACCCGGTGCTCCCTCCTTCCATATTTGTCGACAATAATCTAATAATCGTTTGTTTTCGAATATATAAATCTACGATTCTGAAATTCTTAACAGTAATAAACTCGATAATCATTTTTGCAACCATTGATAAGATCAGGAATAGGAGTAATATTTATAAATTTATGGATACATTTCATTTCAAGGATTAGAATCAGAAGAATAATCGAATTTGTGAAGAAGCTGTTCCCAGCTTATTAAGCAACGATAAATTTCTTCCAGGGTCTCTCATCTCTTCCAATATCATGTATTTCCAAAGTATTTCCTATAAAGGCAAAAATATGGAAAGAGTTTTCAACAGACGTGATATTCCATAAAGAGGAAAGTTGAAAATTGGTTGAAAAAAGAAGAAGAAGAAACAAATTACACTTTTCCCGCGATTGTTCCCCATCTAGTGAAAATTTATTATCACGTTGATGTGATCCATAATACTTAATAATATTTGCAGATCAATCCACCATTTATTCGTCCTTTCATCATACACACACACGCACACACATATATATATATATATAAAGTAGAAAGAAAAGAATTTCGGGACAGCTGCCTCGAGAGGGGTTGAGGCGTCCCTGTATGTAAGTGAAAAATATTGGAAAAATATTCAAGACGCGTGGACCGATGAATGCGAGGACGATGCTTCTGTAAAATTCTATGCATTCCTAAAAGGGTTCTCTACGGCGGATGAGACACTGGCATACACTGGTTAAGAAGACCGCGTTACTTTTTACATTATCCCCACACGTTCGTCTGAATATCAAACTTAAGCTTTCGGGTTAAGTAAATTCCTCGTTTCTACTATCTTCTCTTTCTCTCTGAAAAATATCAAGTACATATATATACAATCAAAAATATTTGCAAGCTATTTCATCCTGAAGTGTTCATCCTAAAAACCTTATAGTCATCTTAAATATGTTAAATATTGTTCGCGTAGAGAGAAAGAGAAATAAAATTGGAAATAATGAGAAGTAGAGTCAAAAAAATATGTATTTGTCGATGGCGTAGAAGATTGCAAGGATAGTTTGAGGAAGGTTTATGGCGGTGTTTCGATGCAATTGGAGAATTTCGCGATTCGGGGGACGCCATTGCCACGATATCTCGCGCTAGTTGGCAGCCGGCCCATGGAAATAAAACGCGTCTCAACCCCCTCCTCGATATTTCACAATTCTCCAAAGACTTTTTGCAGTTGGACCAGTTTGAACAGCCATTTCTTGGATTTCGACTCGATTTTTCCCCGTAATAAGCCTCCAACTGATTCTTTAATCTTTAATTTTTCAAGTATTAAGTATTTATTTTGAAAATTTCAAGTATTTTTCCACTATCGTTGTATCTTAAGGATAATCTTAATCTCAGGAAATGTTGAAAAAGTTTCTTTTTAAATTTTCACAAATTTTCGAAATAATCGACAAGGATGAATCGACAAGGATTGGAGTAGAAATTAATTTATTCGAGGGAAATGTTATTCGACAGTTTCTCTCGAAAGGAGCTTTTTCACGAGTTCATCCATGTTTTCGACCCGTGAGAATCGGCTTTAATCGGCTTACAGCTTAATAACTTCTGCGCAAGATATACAGCAGGCAAAAAGCATGAGGCTTGTTTTCCAAATTTTCAATCCGTTATTTTTTTTAAAAATCTCCGAGAATCCGATCGAATCAACAAGTGTTGGAAATTACGCGACTTTTCCGACTGTTGTTCCACAAGTTATTCACGCAAGGGATTTAATTCAAAAGTCTTTAATGAATCGTCTTTAATAAATTTTGTCGTTACAGAAAGATTTAGAATTTTGTTGTTCAAAATTGTCGCAATTACGGTTGCATGGAAGTACGGGTGTATCGGGGAGGCAAGAAATTATTGATCTGTTCCATGCACTTATATAACTTGACCTGTTTTTTTTTTTCATTTCCGTTTGCGTAGGCCGCATATCTCATTTGCCGGATGCATACCACCGTCTGAGTATTTTCGCCCACCCCTTTGGATGTACGCGAATTCGTGAATTCTATTTTGAACATTATAGCTCGTGTTTCCCCGCAAAAGTTTGCGAATTTTAATTTTTTTTTTTTTTGAAAAACACAAATTGATACGAAAGAAGTTGATAAGTTGATAAAACGCTATAAAAATTGTTTACAAGAACTTTTTAATCAACTTTTAGTTTATCACGCGAATGCTTGGGGAGATATAAAGGAGGAATATAATATGTATATATATCACGACTTGCTCCAATTCTCGGACAAACTACTGCCAACGTCGATCGATTTGCGAGCTTTTCATGCTTTGGAAAAAAGACAGAGAGGAAAGAAAATATCGCTTCTTCCTTGAAGCAAGGAATCCTTCCACATGCGAATAACTCCTCTAACCGGATTACGATGTATTCAAATCGTTTTGTCGCTTGATTGACGCGCAAAAAAAAAAAAAAATCAATGTTACTGTAATATTTAATAAAAACCTATATCTTTCTTTCCTTGAAACGTTTAAAATTTATTATCTGGACAAACAAACTGGATAAACAAATATTTCGAAGAATAAGTGTTACAAAATATGTGCAATTTCTCTTTTTTAAATAATAATAACTTCACTTTGAAAAGAATCACTTTTTAACATCTCACGCATCAAAAAAAGGTATACAATTTTTCTTTCAAACAAATAACTTCACTTTAAAAAGAATCACCTTCTAGATTTCATGCATAAAAAAAAAGTTTTCGAATCAATAATCAGATGTGTTCCAAATTTATTACGAGATGTTATAAGCGAATATGTTAAAAAATAATTGTTTACGAAAGTATACAATTTTTCTTTCAAACAAATAACTTCACTTTAAAAAGAATCACGCATGAAAAAAAAATTTCCAAATCAACGAATGGCGAGAAATGGTTCATGCAGACTTACCAGACCAATCGCCTTGCCTTGAAATTGCAGAAGCGGCCTCGGCGGACGTAGCTGGTAGCAAAACGAACAGCGAGACGGCAGAAGTTTTCGCCGTGGCGAAGTTCCCCTCGTCCGCTGCATCGTCGTCCACCACGTCGTCTTTGTCGAGCGTGGACGCCAGGATGGTCGCCTCTGCCCACAATCTCGACGATCTGACCGCTGGCCATCCGGCGAACGTGAACGGCGACCGCCAGCAACAGCAGCAGGAGAAACACGGCCACATTTACAGAAGCGCCCAGCAGACGGCCCAGGACAAGAGGAGCAGGCTGAGCAACGTGATCAACAATCTAAGAAAAAAGGTGCCCGACCCCAGGAACGGGGAATCGGCGAGGAAGGAGACGGAGGACGATAGGAACAGCGTGGAGAGAAATCTGGAGACCCTGGAAAAGTACGTGATGACGGTGTTGAACGGTGTAATCAAGGACGAGGAGAAGGACAGAGAGGTAAGTAAGAAGAAGGAGGCCGAGAAGAAGAAGGAGGGTGGCGGCAAGTTGAGCGAGGATCAGGAAGACGAGGACCCGAAGGGTTTGGCCGCCAAGTTCGAGCCCTCGAAGCCTAACGAGAGCAGGACAGAGGCTGCTGTTTTCCTGTCCTCTGAACAACCTGACAAGCTTGACCCGACCAAGGAGTTCACTTTGGAACATCATAAAATTGATGCGAGGGGCGAGAACTCCTCGAGGAGCGAAGAGAACACGTCTGTTCGCGCTGCGCGCAAGGGCAGCCAGGAGAGAGGCCTGCCCGACGATATCGGCAAGGAGAAAGAGAGCTGTAAAATCAAGAGAGGGGAAGAGGAGGACAATGGTTGCATCGGCAACAACAACAAGTGTCCCTCCAAGGAAACGAAGTGCGAGGAACAGTCTGCCCAAGAGACGGGGAGGAATAATGATAATCAGGAAGAGGAGAAGAGGGAAAATCGTTCCCTGGGAACGATCATCATGGAGAGATTGAGCGAGAGTATGTCGTCGGATGGAAACGTCGTGGAGGGGAACGTGGACGACGCGAAAGAGGAGCGCGAGGAATTGGCCTCCGACAACGTCGAGTTGAGAAACGTTTGCAGAGATTTGTTGAACGATCTGTTGAACGATATCAATCAATTGATCGACGAGAACAGGCAGAACAAAGAGGAAACGAGGGCACCGCAATTGGACAGCGAAGAATCGAAGGATTCTTCCAGGACTGTTCAAGATTTCGCTATGACGAGTCTTCATTGCAGTCTGCCCCTGGATAAAGTGGCCTCGGTGTTGCAGAATTGTCAGACGAGCGAATTGACCGCTCCTCAATCGCCTTCTTCCTCTTCCTCTTCTTCTTCTTCTTCTTCCTCTTCCTCTCAGGGCTCCAAGTCTCCCAGCAAACCATCCTCTCCCACCGTCAGGCATCTCTGCCTGTACTGCGATCGAAAGTTCATGTCGATATCCCTGAGGCAACGGCACACCGAGAGAGTTCATCAGCAAGGGGGTGGCAGAAGGTCGGAAAGGAACTCGAGGAAACCGTCGCAGAACTGCCAGTATTGCTCTGATAAATGCGCGGAAAGCTTGGAAGGTCTGTTCCAGCATATGATTGGCAGCCATGGAGACAGGTACCATGCTTGTTTGCAGTGCTCTACCAGGTACCTCACCAGGGAGGCCCTAGCGGTTCATATGAACGAGAATCACGGTGTGAATCTCACGGAAAGGAATCTTCAAATTCAGGTACGATCGAAGTTTTCCTAATTTTTTTGGCCCCTCCAAATTCGGGTCAAAATTTCTTTCCCGCACCAAGTAATAAGTTTTCCACAATTTTTGTAGTCTCTTCTTCCGCAGGAGAAGTTGAAGGAATCTTCCCCCTGCAAGGAGCTAGGCAACCAAAGTCCCCACGACAGAGCGGATCCGTCGAACCCCAAAGAGAGAAGAGCCGAGGAATCATCTGATCATGAACACCGAGCGGAGAACACCAGTTTGCTGAAACCGATGCACCCGGTGAAAGACAACTTCAGCAATCCAGGAAGCCCGGAGTTCGACAGCTCGTTTTACAGCAGCGTGAGCTGCAACATCCGGGAGAATCTTCTGCATCATTTGGACGGCAAACTTCAGAGCTCGTCGTCAACGATCACGTCCAACAGCGTGTCGATGACGGAGGTGAAACCTCCACAACAGCAACAATCGCAGCAGCAACAACAACAACAACAACAACAGTCCTATTACGAGCACAACGTTAATCAGATACAATTCCCGATAGATATATCGTTGACAGCCGCAACGCCGGTTTATTCTAAGGAATATAGTAGCGAGGAGTACGAGAATAATAGCGAATACGCCCAAAAGCCTGGTAAGAGCAATAGGTCCCATCCTAGGCGAGTGTCTTTTGAGAAGTACAACTTTCCTAGGAAGTACGATGGGAAAGAGCAGTGGACCTGCTCGATAAAAGATCTCAGCAAGTTCGATATATCCACTCAATTGTCCCTGAGGAAGAAACAGCAACTACTCAAGGAGCGTATAAGTCTGAACAGATTGCATCATCAGCTCACCCTTCTCGAGCCATGCGAGATCGTCCAGAATGAACAGAATCACGGCTCTAAAAGTCTCGACATAGCCAACGATTCGGGCTTAGTCGTTGCGAACGATCCGGATATTGAACAGACATCTCGTTGCGAGGCTCTGAAGTCGCCGATGGAGAACAAACGCGAATGTTCTGATGTGAAGTCGCTTCAGGGTACAGAGTTCACCCTAGAATTTGGGAATTTTCTGAGGTTAAGGAAATGGGACGAGAAGATGACGATCGAGGCTGCCAAAAATCAGGAAGTTGTTTATGCCGAGTTGACAGGGGAATGGTCGAGGCCGAGGGTCTACATCTGCGGCGCTTGCGCTTCCAAACATGTGAGTTTCTGGATGGAAAACTGTTTCATTGAGCAGAGATCAATTCTAGGAATAATTCTAATTTCAGGTCAGAAAGTATTCCAAGTTATAATTAGAAAGAGATTTTCTTAAATTAATTTTGGAATAAATATTGACAATGTTTGTTGTTAGATAGAACTTTCTTTGAATTAATTGTTCATTG